GGCGGGGCCTTGAGATCGGTTACGCCCACAGAATTGGCCGAAATAGCGGCCAGGGCTGCCCTCCAGGCGGCCAAAGTCGGTCCCGAACTCGTCCAGTCGGTTGTCGTCGGTAATGCCATTCAGGTCTGTCTGTCTGTGGTGTCTATTGTCTCATTAAACTCAACCAATTATGTGACAATTAATGTCCCAAAAAACTAAACAACTAGATCTCGGCGGACGACACGCCGATCATCGCGCGGGGTATTGTCGGTCGACTGGGCATACCTATCAACGTGCCCGGGCTGTCCGTAAACATACAGTGCGGCTCCGGCTTTCAGGCCATCATAAACGCCGCACAGGTATCGTATACTTTGATATGTATTAGTAAATTGATTTAGAGTTGTGACCACTTATTTGGTTGTTAAGGACATTATGCTAAATGATTGCGACATTACGCTAGCGGTGGGCGTCGAGAATATGAGTCTCACGCCGTTTATGGTATGTATTTTTATGGCCACAAAGACATACATACAGTACATCTAGTTTTAATTGATCCGCAGTTAAGGGGCGCCCGTTTTGGTGTTAAGTTATCGCAAACGCCTCCGGTATGAAACCATTAATTGCCTGTCAATCACCACTAACTGATCCCTATTTGATGAACAGCTGATCGACGCACTCTGGGAGGGCCTGAAGGACCACAACTGCAACCTCCGGATGGGAGAGACGGCCGAAAAGTTGGGCCAACTTTGGGGCGTCGCTCGAGAGGACGCGGATCGGGTGGCTCTCCGATCGCAGCAGCGGTGGGCCGACGCCCACAAGAGGGGCGTATTCAAGGAGGAGATAGTGCCGGTGCCCGTCAAACGCAAGGGTCGACCCGTTTTGTTTGACACCGACGAACACCCGAAGCCGGACACGACGGCCGCGATGTTGGCCGCACTGCGACCGGTGTTCGCGAAGGACGGATCGGTGACCGCCGGCAACGCGTCCGGCGTTAACGACGGCGCCGGTGCTCTGGTGTTGGCCTGCGAAAAGGCCGTCTCAATGCATGGCCTGCAGCCGTTGGCCCGTATAGTTGGCAGCGCCTGTGTTGGCGTCGATCCCACTATTATGGGTGACTCACAGCTATATCAACCAATACTTTGATCAATAGATTGTAATGTATGTGTGTTTTGTGTGGGGTTTCGCAGGTTATGGTCCGGTGCCGACCATACGTAAAGTGTTGGAAAAAACTGGTCTCTCCTTAGCGGACATGGATGTGATTGAAGTGAACGAAGCGTTTGGCACACAATTCGCTGCCGTCGAGAAGGAGTTGGCTTTGGATAAAAACAAGACTAACGTTAACGGCAGCGGCATTTCCATCGGACACCGTATGTCACATATCATAACACATTTGAATCTATGTTATCTTTGGATATGTTGTAAACTAATGGTTAACTTTCTTATGGCAGCCCTGGGAGCCACCGGCGCCCGCATTATGACTAACTTAATGTATGAGTTGCGCCGACGGAACGGGAAGTACGCTCTCGGGTCGGCCTGTATTGGCGGCGGACAGGGAATCGCTATTATCATTGAGAATGTTCGCTGATTTTGATAATGTTATGTCTCATTATTTTGTATTCATAGTAACGTCTTCCGTCGACTATAATTGCATGCAATTATATCTAGATTTAAGCTAAATCACAAAAGTGTTAAACCGGGGCAACTATATCCGAATACAATTGCCCCCCATGTTAAAAACTTACATATAGTTGCCCCCAATTTTTTAATACAATTTTAATTTCAAAAGTTTTATTCGTGAATTGTAATACAGAAATAAGCAATCATTTTAAGGATAATAAGAAATTAAATATCAGAATTCATATCGTCTTCAGTAATTTGAGCAAATATTTCCCATCCATCCATGTCTTCATTCGTCTGTTCGTTAGACTCTTCGATATAATCGATTACTTCTTCCGACTCTTCGCCATCAGATTCAGTGTCTGTTAGACCTGACGGTTCATTCTCCTCACTATTACCCACAGGACAGCTGTTTAACATTGTTTTCAGCTTTGAATGGAGAGCCGAGTCATCTCTCTTTGAGTGCAAATTACAAAATTTGAAACTCTCGATGATTTGATTTTGAGGCAAGTCTTTCCACGCCTGTAGACACCATTCGGCAATCAAAGCATATGATGGACGCTTAAGAGCTCCTGCTTTGGTCCGGTCTTCAGGTCCCTTCGGTTTAGCCATCCATTCAGACCACATACGTCTAATCGAGGCTTTAAGAGAGCGATTCCATGAGACATCGGCCGGCTGTAAGAGTGGTGTCATTCCTCCCGGTATTATCTCTACTTTTGTGTCATTAAAGTTTGCCATAAATTTCTTGAAGTCTTTGTTTCTGTGAGGAGTGGCCGCATCGATGACAAGAAGTGACCGATGCTTCGGGCCGTTTGAGCGCTTAATGTGTTTGTTGAGAAACAGACCGCCAGGTCTTCGCGAGTAAACATTTTTGCGCCAATCATCCAATAATTCATGATTAATAGATCCAGATTTGTTAACCATTATATGTATGCCATTCGGGAACTTCTCTTTTTTTGGCACTTTCTTGAGTCCTTTAAAAATGATTACTGGAGGACACTTACGGCCATCATGTGTGGCGCACACCATAAGAGTGAAACGTATTTTTTCATAACCAGTTGTCTTAACAGTTACTGTTTTGGCACCAATTGAATCGTATGTCTTGTGTGTCGGCGAATCGAAATACATAGGCGTCTGATCCATGTTTAGTATAGAGAAGTTATTGTCGGTCTGTTGGGCGCGAAAGGCGTCGACTCTATTGAAAAACAATTGCGTTATCTCTTTGGCATTTATTGGAATCTTTTGGCCATTTGATGTCACAGTTCGGGAACCAAGTCTTTCTCTCTTAAGGAAGTTTTTTAGCCAACCCGACGACGCTTTAAACGCCCCTATCATTCCAGGCGCTGCTTTGCATTTTCCAAACTCTTCCAGAGCTGTGGCCACCAAACTATCACTATTGACGGACAATCCATCGCTGCGTTGCGTAACAAACCATTCTTTGACCCGACGATCAACTTCTGGAAACAATGGTTTCCCTATATATGAAAGTCTTCTCTTTTCTTTCACTTTAACATTTCTATCCTTTAAGTCCTTAAGAAGTTGGTCTTCCATTCCCACCCAATGCTGTATATTCTGACGCAAAGTCTTGAACTTTATGGCCGTCTTTTTCTTATTAAATCCATTTGCTTTATACCACTTAATGGCCGATAGTTTGGTGAATAGAGTAAACGATTTGCGGCCGACTTTACCGCTGCTCTTAGTTGTTGGCCGACTCTGACCACTGTTAACACTCTTTGTGTTTGCATTGCTTTCACTTTGACTCGCATTCAATGAAGCAGTACTTCCACTCAAATCTAATGTATTCAATGTCTGTTGCAATCCATCCATTGATTCCTCATTTGATGACAACTCAATTACTTCAGACATTGTGTCACAAATACCTGACACTCATTCACATCAAATAAAAAGCACACCAATTGATAGGAAAGGGAAACACATAATGCATGAAAACTTTTTACCAAACTTTACAGTTTGATATTTAATGAATTTGAGGGCAACTATACGTGAATTTCTACAAATGTCTGTTTGATAGCAAAACTGAGGGCAACTCTATCCGAATATAATTGCACCCCGACTTAGAGATCTAGATATAATTGCACTGCAATTATAGTCGACGGAAGACGTTAAATACTTTTTTACATAAATAAATTTTTTTCCTGTTAACTCTCTCTCTCTCTCTCTCTCTCTCTCT